TAAATGCATAAGGAATCATCAAGGAAGACATACAAGTGCACAATGGATAAATAAAACGAGAAGTCAAGAAATCAACACACCGTACCAGTGGGTACGTGGTGGGAGGTCGACCTCCTACCAGGGTCCCACTGGAACGTGACTGTGAAGAAGGAATCATTTCGGGAAAAGCCCCAAGAATGCACAAATTCAAGTCCGAACAACTCCACACTCATATGAACAACAAAAAGGACTTGAATACATGGTAAACATCAAGGAATAACATAATTATGATATCAACAAGGAATACGGGAGACTTAAACAAAAGTTCAATACATCATAAGGATCACACATCACATTCCCCCCCCCCCCCCCCCCTCCTAAGAAATAAAGCTACGTTCCCACAACTTTCATGCAGACTCATGCAAGTACCTATCAAACTATAAGTAAGTTAACTATCAAAATAATCGAACAATCACAATTAAGAAATGTGAGCAATTATCGATCAAATAAAGTCGTTCATTTGCAAGTTCCAAAATATTCCATCAAATAACAAATATCCAAATAATGCATATTGACCAAATAATTAAGCAATAATATGCAACTCCTTAGCCGATATATGAATGAATTAATTAGGAAAATAATCCAACTTTCATGCTTAAGCAAATAACCAAGTCCAACATTTAATAAGAAACAGAATCGATAGCATGTCAAGGTAAATCATCAATAATCAAAGAATGATATGTGACAAAGCATGTAAAAGTATGCAAGGATATCACAACTTTAGAGCAATCGTAGGGAACAAGGAACAAGTATAGAGAACTTAACAGAAAGCGATAAATAAACTCACAGTCTCACCGCGTCTCCTAAGATTCTTATATCCTAAGAACTTAAACACCTAGAGTTCAAGCTTAATGTCCTAAAGTTTTGTCTTAAAGGTCTTATCCTAGGGTCGAACTTAGGCTCTGATACCAACTGTAACACCCCTAATTTTTAAAACATTTAAAGCTTATATAATAAATGCAATCTAACGATAATCATCCAAACAGAGCATAAACTATCCATAAGAGTCGGGGTGCTATGCCACATCTAGGTTTGAGAACCTAAATGCATAGGCTAAACTAACTGAACAAGGCATAAACTATAATTAATATTCATAATACAATTCAAGGCTCACAGGCCATCTAACTAATACTAAGCTAAATCCACGAGTTCATCTAACGCGCTCCGAAGCTACTAATCTGCACCTGAAAAACATACGGTGTAACAACCGTCAGCGAATAATGCTGGTAACCCACTCCAATGCATTAAGTACAATATAGGTAGATATAAGAAAATCATTTTGAAACTGGAATACATATATAATCCTAAAGAAACTGTAGCTTTAAAACCAGGATCAAGACTCATGACACGATAACAGACTTGACACTATAAACAATCATAAAGATAATAACATGCATCCTACGTTTGCAAGGCATAATAGACAAGTAAGTTCATAATAGCAATTAAAGACAACAATGGAATCCAATGACAATCAATTAGCAAGTAATCACCAAAGCACACAATCCATCTCCCAATCTTATACCAAATTCCAACCTTTACTCCTCTCCATCCTTATATCAGTTCCAACCTGTACCTCCAGGCCACCCTTATATCGCCTCCCTTATTCCTCCGGAACAACTACATGCCCCACTCCGTAATCACCAACAAGTCCACTAACATGGTAGCACCGAAGTGTCATTCACATGATCCGTGCCTCTAGCACCACTACCAAGGGGTCAGTGCATATAGCTCTGACATGACACTGCGGTGCTTATACCCTGACCCAAGCCTTTAGCAAGCAAGTCTAAGGGGTGGTCCGTGCCTTTAGCACGATAACCAAGCACTCGTTGTGCTATCCGCCAACAATTCATTTCCACCAATCACAATCTCCTCATCATCAGTCTCAACCATCATTGCGCAATGATCACAACACTCATCATCATTCAGTCAATCAACATATAACCAACAATAGCAATCAAAGTATAATAGCAAGGATACACACTACACATAAATTCCTAGAACGGTACTCAAAACATCATACGAGACTCATAAACATCAAATGGGGTACAACGGGGCATAACGGGACACGGGAAAACAACAAACGGGGGAAAACATCCTGCCGCACCACCTCGTTCCAGCGGGTGGGCGGTGGGTGGAGGACCACCCGCCGGTGGGGCAGTCACATTCCAGCTGGTGGCCGGCGGGCAGAGGGCTGCCCGCTGGAAACGGGCAAGCCAGGTAGTGGGTAGGTGGTGGGGACTCGTTCCCCCCACCTACCCCCACTGGTACGAAGGTAGAAATTCGGTTCGGGGTTCGTCCGTGGAACCCAAAACCATGTCCAAACACATTCCAACACGTAACGACAACATCACGGATTCAATTAACAAAGATTAAACCAAGAATCGTTCCAATTACATTCTAACACGTTTCCTAAACATGCCAAGACTCGACATCAACCACATAACGGTTCGGGAGCATTCGGAACCCCAAGAACATCAAGATATCTATATGCAAAGTCCTAAAGACAAGTCCTAGGCTAGAATTAACACCCGAGCATGCATAAACCCACCCGAAAATACCAAGAACATCACGTACAACACGAGATTCATGATATAAACCCTAGGGGCAAGCTCTAGACATAATTAAATACAAGATTACACATAATCAATCACAACATCAAGATCATCAAGATTATCAAATTAACACAATATAAACCCTAGGCAAGGCTCTATCAAGACTCAATCACAGAATCACACATACAATTATCAAAGGAGCCAATAAATAAGATATAACAAGAAAAATATGTTTTGTAAGACATGGGTTACTTGTTAGTTTTAATTAAAACTCCTTACAACTTCCTAAGATCTTTCCTCAATCGATCCTCCCTAAACCTGGTAATGGGGAATTCCTTGGCTTGGAGAGGATTTCGTGTGGGGAGGGGGAGGTATGGGTGATAGGGTTCTAATGCCTTCTAATCCCCCCTTTATATAGGTTAGGATCCCTAATACAAATCTAACTAGGTAAGAGGTTTAAGATTCCTAATTAGAATCTGATTAATAATGGGCCCTCTTTCTGTATTCCTAACAGATATATAGGTTTAGGATTCCTAATTAGAATCTGAATAGTAAAATGTCTATTTTCTTTATTCCTAACAGGATTAAAGGCTTAATTAGAGATAAGGGTCCATGGTCCATTGTGGACCACATTAATTAATCAAAGGAATTCTAACTAACTTAAATTCTTTTTAACTATTTGTTAACGGAATTAATTTCATAATTAATCCGAATTTGAAGGTCGTAACACGGGGTGTTACATTTTGGATATGGATTATGTGAATATGTATTGTTTGATAGTATATTCGGAAAATTAGAAAATGTTGAAATTTGGGGATCTTAAACCGAACCGAATACCAAACTGAAACCGAACCGTTTCAAATCGAACCGAACTCTAATGTTAAACCAAATGGTTTAATTTTATTATTTTTTTGAAATCGAAAAACCGAAATCAAAACTTGAAACGCCCACCCCTATGGATAACCAACAAAATTTTTTACTTTCAATAAATTCAATAACATTTATTACAGAATTATCAAAACACAGGGAGAGCACTTTGACTTTTTCTAAAGTGTTGGGCAGACTATCGTTTGAAAAGATTGATTTTCGCAAGAGAGAAGGGAAGAAAATCAAACAAAAGTTGTGAAGTGTTCAAAAATCCAGTTCAAACAATTTGCCCAACACCAAATTTTTTATAGGAGAAGTATAAATTAATAGCAATCAATAATGGCATTCACATCTAAAATAAATTCATATTTTCGATTGTTAGTTTTCTTTTAAAAAAAAATCTCATGTTTCAAAAATGTACATAATTATATATTAAAATACACATAATTGTATATTAAAATGTACATAATTGTATAAGAAAATACACATGTTTTTTTTGAAAAGATAATACACATAATCTAGCATAATACATAATACGTAATACATAATACATAATACATAATACATAATACACATAAACTTTTAACATAATTCACATAAATTATTAACATAATTCACATAAATTATTAACATAATACACATAAATTCCTTTCTTCGGATGTACATAATTGTATAAAAAAAGTACATAATTGTATAAAAAATGTACATAATTGTATACCATAATGTACATAATCACGTCAACTTCCTACACAACTTAACAAAACAACGTCGTTTTGGGAGGCGCGGGGCGCACAGTGCTGTGCGCGCCGTGGTGCAGGGTATAACGATTGTATTTGTACCATAAAATAACTACTTAAATGTCATTTTTTGCTAAAATTTTCAACAACATTTACCTTATTTTTGTGGTATAAACACAACTAATATGAATATTTAAAAAATTATGTACACAATTAATATGGGAAAAAAATGTCAAATACACAACGAATGGATAAAAATGTGATTTACTCAACTAATATGGCCACGTCAGGTGGAAAATGATGATAATTACTTATGTGGTATAGACACAACTAATATGAATATTTAAAATATTATGTACACAACTAATATGAATATTTAAAATATTATGTACACAACAAATATGGGCAAAAAATGTTAAATACACGACGAATGGATAAAATGGTCAGGACAGGTGGAAAATAATGACAACTAATTATGGGGTGAGAGAGGCTTAAACTCTCGACCTCAGGATAACTCAGATGCTATGAGACCTACGCGCTAGCCAACTGCGCCACCACCCCTTGATGTACAATTTAATCTCATTATAGTATAAAGCTTTGCTTTACCACATTGTGACAAATATAGAGTAGATATTTACTAAAATTTAATTTAGGTCCCTCCATAATATGCTCATTATCAATGTCACTCCTTAATTATTAGTGATGTAAATGTTGCCCCTTAATTTTCATTGCTAAATTTTAGTAAAAGATAGAATTTCCTTATGACTAAGTATACTTTTTTTATTTAAAAAACAAAAAAGTATACTTCTCTCGATCAAACTGACATAATTGCCTTTAATGGTGTTATGCATTCATATCATACAATATGCTCAAAGAAGTAAGAATTACAATATTGTTTGAACCTTTAGCCCCAAAAATATTGTCCATGAATTTCGATTACCCCTAGACCCAATTAACGCCTGGATCTTTTGTGTTGGACCGAATCGAAATCAGGCTTGAGGGGTGGAGAAACAAGCGCATATCCCTTGTTGGTAGACGTGTTCTTGCCCAAAGCGTTTAAAGTACCATTCCGTTCTATGTCATGCAATCAACGAGCGTCCATGTGGGAATATGTTCTGACATTCAGACGAGAATTAAAAAATTTTTATGGGGCAACAACCAACATCTTATCAATTGGAAAACTATCACTAAATCTAGAAGCGAAGGAGGTCTTGGGATTCGTAAGCTGCAAGAAATGAATAAGGCATTCCTAACCAAAATGAGCTAGAGGATTCTTAGAGACAAATACACTCTTTTGGTTAAGGTTCTTTGCAACAAATATATGCAACGTAGAAATATAAATTTTGGCTTCCATCAAACGCAAGGGCTAAACCCGTTCTTAATGATGGTGTGTGTAAAAATGTTCGTTGTGGGAAGAATACAAGATTTTGGTGTGTGTAAATCCTTTTTTTTTTTAAGCTCTTCTAAATTATTTTTGGAAACTAAAATATTGTCAAAGCCTTAGGTAAAAATTATCTTCAAAACTCTTTCAAAGTTGTTTAAGTTTTTAGTCTAATAGTATGTTAGTAGGATCTTAAGAACCCATCTAGAATCGCCAATACACTACTATAGATATGAACAAAGTAATAAGACGTTAGTGGGATCTCTAGAACCCACCAATAAGCCACCACATAGAGATGACAAAGCAACATAATGTTAGTGGGATCTCAAGATATAATGCTTAAAAAATTAACAGATTATTCACGGTATCTTCACATTCCTACACATACACAACCCATTATCACTATTTATTTTTAAAAACTAATTGTTTTCTAGCCGTTGTTCTCCACCCTGTCAATATCTTTTCTCTAATGACTTGAGAAGATGAGAGAGGATCTCCTCGCATTCTCAAACATTCCAAGCTTCACTTTTAACATATCTCCTTGAAGGTTTGAATAAAGAAAGCGAGCCGTGTTCTTCATTTTACATATACAACAAAAATTTTCTTCCAATATACTTGAAACTTTCTACTATTTGGTTTTACTATTTAAGTATTAAGTAGTGATTTGGTGTATTTTATTTATTTATTTATTTATTAGTGTAATATTCATAATTGTGAAGTAATTAATATTTATGCATAGAATTTTTCTTATTTTTGGTCCCACGACTATTGAATCATTTTCACATTTGATCCCCGACTATTAATTTTTTAATTGAGTTACGTTAATTCTCAAAATGATCCTTCGACTATGGTCTTTTCTCAAATTGGTTCCTTGACTTTTAATTGCACTCAAAGTGGTCCTCCGACTATTGAATTTTAAACCAAAATAGTTCTTTGTTAGTTTTGGTGTTAAGTAGATGTTTAAATGAGGGATAAAACTGATAATTCAGTGTTTTACTATAGTCAGATGACTACTTTGAGTACAATTAAAAGTCAAAGGACCAATTTGAACTATCTAATTAATATTTTAAAAGAAAATTTCATTTTTATGAACTATCTAGTTAATATAATCTAAAAGTTTCAATTGTGTATTATCGTATTTAAATTAATATAAAATACTTAGAGTTGATCTAATTAAATTAAAAAGTATTATAAATATAATATTAATAGCAATGAAATACAATTTATTCCAACCATTTAATATTTTATTATAAATATTCTTTTATCACGTTTTGAAGTTTTTTTTTTTTCGCCTCTACTAACCAACATTTTTTTGTTCTGCCCCTATATATCAATATTGTATTTTTGTAATAGACAATTATTATTTTTTTTATTATCTTTCTTATCTGTTTGTATTTAACTGTTGTCTTTTTTTTTCCTTTTTTTTTTTAATAAGCAATGGTTTATGTCTGTTGTCCATTTGGTTGTAATTTTTCACAATAGTTTTGTCATTATATGTATGTCTATTTATGATCATAGAAAATCAAAATCCAAATACATAATGTCAAGCATTCCTGAATAATAAATAGTTAATCTAATGTTAATGTTAGCTTGTACAACTACATAAAAGTACTAGGCTAATAATCAAAATTATTATTCTAAGTTATTTTTTTAAAAAAAATAATTTTCTAGTTAACAATTAAAGTAAAAATATTATTTATTTAGAAAATCAAAATAAGTACAAGATCAACCCCTTTTAATCAAAATGAGTACAGATCATGTTTGAACTATAAAGAGAAATTCATAAAATGGTCCTCCGACTATGGTCTTTTTTCTCAAATTGGTCCTTTGACTTTTAATTGCATTCAAAGTAGTCCTTTTGACTATAGTGAAAGCCCTAAATTACCAGTTTTACCCCTCATTTTAACACCTACTTAACACCAAAACTAACGGAGGACTATTTTGACTTATAATTCAATAGTCGGAGGACCACTTTGGGTGCAATTAAAAGTCAAGGAACCAATTTGAGAAAAGGCCATAGTCGGAGTACCATTTTGAGAATTAACTATTTTTTCATTTTTGATCCAACGACTATTGGATCGATCATTTTCACATTTTGTCCCTGACTATTAACTTGTTCACATTTGACCCATGACTTTTAAATCTTGCACATTTGGTCTTTCGGCCTAATTTCTGGTTACCAGTGACCAAAATTTTTTGTTGAAAATATAATAGAAAATGAAAATTTTGTCCTTCAAGATAAGTCACTTAACTATTATGCACTCATTAACATAGAAACAAATTTGGTTACCGATGACCGAAAAATAGGCTGGATGATCAAATGTGACAAGGTTTTAAAAGTCGTGGGACAAAATTTGGAAAAATTAATAGTCAGGACCAAATGTAGAAATGATTAAAAAATTGTGGGACCAAATGTGAAATAATTAATAGTCGGGAACCAAATGTAGAAATGATCCAATAGTCATGAGGCCAAAATTAGAAAAAGATTTTTATCCGTTTTTAACGTATCAGATGCGAAGGAGTCCCCAGGTAAAAAAAAATATGGTTAAATCTCAGCCATTGATTAATCTAGATCATCAATTGTCCAGAATGAAAGAAAATTTTTTAAAAAAATGCGGTGAGAATTTGATAATTTTTGTACGTAAGTGCATATTTTTTGTCTTTGGGTGCATTGGTTTTTGCCTTCGAGTGCATATTGTTGTGCATTACAGTACACATTTTTAACAGGCTGGTTCAATAGACCCTTGCTAAGTGCATGTTTTTGTCTTTGGGTGCAATACTTTTGCATTCGAGTGCACATTATTGTGGCTTGTAGTGCGAATTTTTGTATCTTCCAGTGCATATTGTTAACAAGTTGGTTTAACAGGTTCAATAGCCCCGTTGCTAAGTCCCATGAAAGAGCACAAATTATGCTGTGCAACCGTGTGCACCATGCATGGTGCACACGGTTGCAAAACAACACCGTTTTACTATAATGGAGTAACGGTGCCATTTGGCACCGTTTAACTCCACTAATCAAATAATTTTTATTTTTTTTTACAAAAACTACAATCGACGTGTAATTATGAATATATATATATATATATATATATATATATATATATATATATATATATATATATATATATATATATAGTTATGAAGTTGTGGATATACAGTTATGAAGTTATGGATATATAGTTATGAAGTTATGGATGTGTAGTTATGCAATTATGGATATAGTTCTCTGTGAACAAGCACTTTAAGAATTCTGAATATGGAGTTTTGTAATTATGAATGTCTAGTTGTGAAATTATGAATATATGGATATGAAATTATGAATGTGTAGTTATTATTTCTGAATGTGCTGTTGCCAAATTATGAATATATAGTTATGTAATTCTGGATATATAGTTATGTAATTCTGGATATATAGTTATGAAATTATGGATATATCCTACTGTTTAAATACAAAAGGAAACCGCCTAACGCCGTTAACGACAATTCGAACGGGATTTTTTTTTAAATGAAACGGCGTCGTTTTGAAACCGTGTGCACCATGCATGGTGCACATGGTTGCACAGCATAACGATTGATGAAAGAGAGAAGGAAACAGGTTTAATAATCCCGTGAAGATTAATGAACGTTTTGGGCCTTCTGTGCATAATTTTATGTCTTTTAGTGTACATTATTGTGTCTTCTAGTGCACATTATTGAGCCTTATGGATTTGAACATAACGCAAAGACAGTATATTAGAAGGGTAATTTTTTTTTGAGCCATTGATCTGGACATATCAACAGCTCAAATTTATCGACATGTTTTACCTATATTGAAATAAAGACAATTCATTAATTCATATGTGAACGAAGAACATCTGAGAACAACAAAGGGGGAATGAAAAACCAGTCTCTATAATCAGACATAGAAACTACATGCCTAACTAAAGGTTAAGCAACCCGATTCGCTTTACAAAAGATAATTTAAGGTGATGGAAAGAGTTACAGAGTTGACAAACCAAAGAGCACTGCACTTTCTTGATCATCAATAGCCAAATCTAATTTATGTACTGTTCAGGGTCAAAATGACATATCTTTTATTAATTTATGGTATATTTATTTTATTGTATACTTGTAAAACTATATCATTGGGAAAAGAAGCCACAGATAGAGTACCAAATATGTTCAAACAAAGAGAACAATATATATATATTTTTAAGAGAAATGGGTCAAATAGGCGCTTAAATTTTTCATAAGGAGTCAATTAGGCTCTTCAACTTTCTTTTTTTTTTTTTTTGAAAAACAAGAGCGATATAACATTAAATAAGATCCAAGCTCAAAACGTGAGCAATGAAAGGAAACGGAACAGAAGAACAATCCATACAATCAGACATCGACAAGGCTTCACTGCTGGAATTCTCGCCATTTCCGACCAACATTTCCGTCCAATATAATGTTGGTCGGTAATTTAATAAAAATCTCAACTTTCCATCGTTAAAGATGATTGGACGAAAAATTGATCAGAACTTCCGTCCAACGCAATAATGTTGGACTGAAATTCCGTCCAACATCGATTGTTGGAAGTAAATTCTATCCAACCTATA